CTGGAGAACCCTGACTAATGCAGTGCTCAATAAATGTTTGTAGGGGCTGGCCCCGTGGCTGAGCAGTTAAGTTCGCGCGCTCCGCTGCAGGCAGCCCAGTGTTTCGTTGGTTCGAATCCTGGACGCAGACATGGCACTGCTCATCAAACCACGCTGAGGCAGTGTCCCACATGTCACAACTAGAAGGACCCACAATGAAGAATATACAACTATGTACCGGGGGGCTTTGGGGAGAAAAAGGAAAAAAATAAAATCTTTAAAAAAAATAAAATAAAATAAATGTTTGTAAAATGAATGAATGCATGAATAAACAAGCCACTCACAAACCCTCTTTCTGAGGCAAAGTCTTTGTCAGACAGCCAAGCTCCAAAACAGCAATGTAGACCCTAGGGGGTGACCTCAACGGTGTCCTCATCCAGCAACCCCATGCATGTTCCTCATGCATTGTCCCTACCCAGTGTCCCCCTCCAGTGTCCCACGCAGAATCCCCACACGTTGTCTCTATGCGGTGTCCCCCCTCAGTGTTCCCAGGGACAGTCTTTTTTCTAACTTACTTAAAAGTTAGAAATAACTACCTTTTCTTTTTATCACTACAGGCCAGTGACAAAGATTCTCTCTTTGACTAAACGCTAGCTGGGCTCTTCTGAGCCCTCTTCTCGATTAGGCCTTAACCTCAGCCTACAAAGACTAGAACAAACAATAACTTAGTTGCTAACAGTTCAAGGTCGCATCTCTAGGATGACCCCAGGCCCCTTAACATGCCGGCCTGAGAAAACTCAAGGCTGCACGATGAACTGACTGTTTCTTCCAGCCACAGCCTGAGGTCAGAGCCCCTGTCTCCCAGCCTCCATGGGAGCGTGGGAGCAAACCCAGATGCGATTCACACGGACCAGCCCCGCTTCCCACTTTTTGTAACTTTCACTTCCCTGACCCCCCTCCATAGCCCCTCATTCTCCCTTTAAAATGCTCAGGCATCTCTGTACAAGCTGAAGTTGAGTTCAGTTCCCTGTGGACTGTTTTCCCTGTTGCAATAATTATTACGGATTAAAATCTGTCCTGACCACTTAAACTAGTGTCCAGCTCTGTTTATCTTTGACACCAGGCACCAAGCTAAGCATTTCTCATTACAGCATGTCATTTGATCCTCATGGGAACCCTATGAGATTGGGTCTATTATTACAGATGGGGAAACTGAGGGTCAGAGAAGTCATTCTCTGAAGATTCCAGAGCTGGTGCCCAGCTTAGCCTGCAGTCCCACCTACTGCATACTTCCTACTGTGGCCCTGCTGCAGAGAAGTAAGGAATCATTGGAACAACATTCTTACCCCAAAGGCTACATGGCTGCAGGTTCATAGCAGAGGTTGGAGCTGTCCACAGGTGTGGAGGCGGCTGGCCCATCATCAATCAGTAGGAGGTGGCGTTGGCCACCAGTGCCGAGGTTTGCAGGCAGCCGGGCCCTGGGCTTCAGCAGCTGCATCCCATTTTCCTAAGATCATCACGGAAGCACTGTTCCTCTGCCTATCAAGTCATCAACTCTGACTCTGGTGTCCAGCCATCAAAGTGAGGTTGCGGCACCTTGGGGCTTTTGCGGGAAACCAGATTTAGGCAGCAGGACAGATGAGGGGCTCCCACCCTCTTGTTATTACTTGGAATGAATTTGCTTTGCCTTTTTTCCAAGAGATTAGAAATACATTCCAAAGCTCCTGTGAAATCGAGTGGGCAAAGGGTGGGCATGAGCAGCGTTGGTGGGTCTGGTCTCTGCTCTAAACAGAATCACGGCCCTTTGGAGGATCTGACCGTTTGAAAACAGTGTCGAGAGAGGAGCCTGGCACTTGGAATCTGAAGACTTGGGTTGGAGTCTTGAATGTATCCCATGATCCTTCTGGGCCTCAGTTTCCACAACTCGAAAATGTGACAGTATCTCCAGCAGCACCTACCTTCACTGCTTGGTGTGTCCGTGCTCCAAGAAAACTACCGACGTCAGTCCAAGGTCAAGAGCATCCATCCTGAAAACCCAGTCGCCCTTTCACAAGCCGAAAGGAACCTAATTGTAGGACAGCCTGCTCTCTCCCCCAAAAACAGCAATGCGTTATATCGAAAGCTCAATTTTTTAAATAGTTTAATTTCTATGCATTTTAGCTTTGGAGAATAATCTCAAGTTTGGGAGATTCATTTTTTTAATGCAAATTGGCTTTGACTTGGAAAGAACTGAGATGGAGTTCTGGGGTGGGGCCTTCAATCTTAATGACCATATTTGCATATCAATGGCCTCTCACTTCATTTGCTGCCAGGGCCACCCTCCGAGCTTAGATGACTCAAGACATAATGGAAAGATGGGAGAAATGCTGGTCGTTCTTCCTTTTCAAAAAGTTTAAATATAGGAACTGCTTTGAAATAAAAATTTCCCCATGGACTTTTGAAGTCAGACTGAGCAGATAAATAGATAATATTTTATCAAACTTACCAAGATCGTAAGAGAGTGTGGAATGAATTTTTACATTTACATGGGCTCACATGCCCTTCGGAATTCTCCTTAGGCCTTCTGGAGGCCAGTCATGCAGCCCAGATACTTACTGAGGGCTTCCTTAGTGCCAGGCACCGTGCTATGTGTTGGGGCTACCAAGGAGAAGACAGATGTGGTCATTGTCCTTGCAGCTTGGCGGTAGGAGAGACAGATCTTAAGGAAACATTGAACAACTGCAGAAATACAATCTGTAATAAGGGCTAAGAGGAAAAAAATAGAGTGCTCTGAGATTGTGTAACAGGGAGCCTTCCCTGAAGGGAGGAACTAATGAGCAAAGATGTGAAGGAAGAACACACATGAGGAGAACACACGTGCATATGTCTTGGGGAATGGAGAAGGAAGGAGTTGTTTGGGGTTTAAGAGACTGAATGGGGGACAATGTGGCTGTTGAGCAGAGAGCAAGGGGAAGAACGGTGCACAAGGAAGATGCAGAGAGAGATCAGGGGCCTCGGTAAAGAGTTTGGTCTTTTATGAAAGAGCAATGGGTATCCGTTGAAGGATTCTAAGGGGGATGGTGTGATCAGCTGCTCTGTGCAGAGCAGATTCTGCAGGGAGCCTGTGTGGAAGCCTGAAGACCAGGCAGGGGGCTGTAGTAGAATTTTGGCTTGGACTAAACTGGTGGCAGAGAAGATGGAGACAGTAAATGGTGGTCAAAACGGCAGGAGTTCGTGATGTAGGAGGAGGTTGTAGGAGGAGGGGAAAGAGAAGAAGCGTCAAGGATGATGCCCAAGTTTCTGGCTCATACAGCTGAATGTGGGGGAGAGGTGAGGGGCATTGGAGAAGATGGGGACACCAGAGGAGGACCACACCTGGGGAGAGGGCTGGTGTGGAGACTCAAGAGTTCAGTGTTGAAGATGTTGAGTGTGAGGGACCTTTGAAATACTTTTGAGATGAAAATAAGGACTGAATTTGGGGAAGCTGTCTGGGCTGGAGATGGACAGGTGAGGGCCCCCTAAGCCTTGGATTGGGCTTGGGTGAGAAGCCCGGAAGAGTGAGAAGACAAGAGGAGCTTCAGGCAAGTCCGACAATCCTGCTCTGTGAAATTGTCTCCACCACATACCTTGGCCCTTGTCCCAAACAGTTCTTCCACGTGCCATGTGGGGCATATTCGCACCCCATTGCTAGTGTGCTTTTCCCCTTTTCCAATCCAAACTTTTCATCAACACATCATCTACGCAGTTTGCACTCTTGCCAAGGATCCACAACCTGAATCTAATCATGAGGAAACCATCAGACAAATCCAGATCACGTGGCAATACACAAGACAAGAAACCTGGCCCCTTCAAAAGTGTCAATGTCATGAAAGACAAAAAAAATCAGACAAAATAAATCAAGGGGAGAGTTCTGGAATCTAAATTAAAGGAGATGAGGAAAACATGACAATCAAATGTAATGTGTGATCCTTGGTTATATGATAAGTTAAAAGGAATAAGATTATAAAGGATATTTTGGGGACAATAGGGAAAACTCAAATATGGTATATTAGGGAATATTTACTGCATCAATATTTCTTGTATCAATATCAAATATCAATATTTATTATGTCAATCTTGGGTGTGATAATGACATTGGGATTATGTGGGAGGACATCCTGTTCTTGGGAAGTATATGCTGAAATATTTAGGGATGCTATGTCTAGAACTTCCAACTGCTTAGGGGAAAAAATTTCTAATATACGTAGAAAGAGAGAAATAAAGCAAATATTGGAATATGTTAACAAACTGGAGACTCTAAATGAAGATTATATAAGTATTCATTGTACTACTCTTGTAAATTTTCTCTGTTTTAAATGTCTTAAAATAATTGGGGAAATTGTAATGACTTCCGAGACCAACTACCCAGAGTTGGGCCAAATCTCACAAGTTAAGGGTACAGCCCTCAACGAGACTACCTTCACTTGAGACACCAGCTTCAAGTTTGGGGGTCCTCAGGGCACCCTCATGTCTAACCAGTTGGCTACAAATTCAGGAGTTCCCACTACCCCCTCAGATTTGGGAATTCACTAGAACAACTCACAGAACGCAGGAAAGTGCTAGACTTACAATTAGAGTTTTTTGTGGCAAAAGGATAATCAGAACCAGCTAAAGGGAGAAACACACAGGGAGAAGTCTGGGTGGGTCCCAAATGCAACACTTCCCTTGTCCCCTCCCCTGGAGTTAGGACACGTTACCCTCTCAGCACTCTGATGTGGGACAATACGCAGAGTATTGCCAGCCAGAGGAGTTCACCCAAGCTTCGCTGTCCAGAGTTTTACTGGGGGTTCGTTACATAGCCATGGTTGGTTGAATCATTGGCCACACCCCTCATCTCCCTAGAGGTCGAGCTGATACCACATGGCTCAAAGCCCCAACCCTCTAATCACACCAGCGGTCTTTCTGACAGGGCCAGTCCCCAGTCTGAGCTCTCCATGAATAACAAACACACTATCATTCAGGAAATTTCAAGGATTTAGAGGTTATCTCCCAGGAGCCAGGGACAAAGGCCAGCCAAATGCTTTATTACACAGAAATAAGACTAAATACATCTTTAAACAAAAATTTTTTAAAACTTTCATTAAGAGCCGTAGTAGGTAGGCCTAGAGCATTTGAATCAAAAATCATGAGACTCCATGGACATAGTCTCAGCTCCACGCAGCCTCCAACAGCACAGTGTGTTTGCATCTTGAGTTTGAAGAGGCCACTTAGATCTCGCAACAGTTCCCATTTCAAAGGCATTAGGCTAAGCGTTCCACTTTTCTGCAGAGGGTCAGCCGTAAACAGTAAATACGCAGTTGTGGAGGAGTAAAGAACAGAAGAAAATAATTTACATTTGTTGTCCAGTACTTCTCAATTCAATTCAATATGCCAATCCTTATGATAATCACAGCCTATACCACTTCAATCAAATCAGATCTTCTAACTCTCCAAGTCAAACAGGGAGGAAGTCAGGATTCCAGGAGCAGTGTGAAAACTGAATAATTGTCAACTAGAACCGTAATCAGCTCTCTGGCCCCTGGGCCTTCTTCAACACTAGGCTGTGAACCAAAATGACTTACTGGGAACGCATTTGCAGGAGATGAGCTCCAGGCACAGGACAGAGAGAACCGCCTTGTTCACAGACCTAGTTGAAAGAATAGAAGGAAGAGATGTTCATGAAAAATGAAAAGAGGAGGCTTGTTATACAGCAAATAGAGGCTCTAGAAGCATCAATATTCTCTCTGTAACTAGTTTGTTTTTAAATATGAAAGTGATACATGCCTGTTGTAAAAAAAAAAAAGTTCAATCAGTAAAAGTGTATACCAGGAGTGACATTCAAAATATTTAACTGTTGCAAGAAGGGCACAGACCAACAGAACCAGTTTCAAGGGGCCAGCCTGGTGGCGCAGTGGTTAAATTCACACGTTCCGCTTCGCTTTTTTTTTTCTTTTTTGAAGAAGATTAGCCCTGAGCTAACATCTGCTGCCAATCCTCCTCTTTTTGCTGAGGAAGATTGGCCCTGAACTAACATCCATACCTGTCTTCCTCCACTTTATATGTGAGACGCCTACCACAGCATGGCTTGCCAAGTGGTGCCATGTCCACACTCGGGATCTGAACCGGCAAACCCTGGGCTGCCAAAGCAGAATGTGCACACTTAACCACTGCGCCACCAGGCCTGCCCTGTGCTCAGGGCTTATCTTAATCTTCCTCAAAAAAAAGAACTAATTCCAGCCACTGTACAGGAGAGGACCCACTGAATAGCAGGCTGGATATGCAACAAAAAAGAGGTTTCTCACCCCAGATTCCCAGCTGTGCTCCCCAGCAGTAACCACCATTAACTACTTAGGACTTGTTCCAGAGATGTTTTAAGCATCTATCAGCATATCTTTGTGCTTATATATCTGTTTTTATACAGATCTCTGTTTTTGAAAACACCATACTGTTGCGTAGCATACTTTTTTCTTTTAACAATGTATCTCAGGCATCTTTCTACATCTCCACATGTAGAGTTACCTCATTTTTGTGAAGCTTTAGCCGTGCTACTCAAAGTGTCAGCTGTGTATCACTGCTAGTCCAGGAACTGTGTATTTGGGTCTGAGAAAAGATAAGGCAGACCTTGCACCAGAATGCAAATCAACTACGACTCTCCACACACTATTACTTCCACTGAAATAGACATTTTTTTTTCCAGTAAGACTTTCTTGATAAAGTCATTGATTTACATTCTGGCTCAAGCTCCTTATCTCCTAGCAGACCAGTAACAAACAGCAGACTGTCTACTTTGAGCAGCCATCATAGAGTATGTACACCACAAGTTATTTAACCAATCCCCTCTTGATGGGCACTTAGATTCCTACAAATGAGGATTCTTCTGTGCACATATCTTTATGCGCTTGGGAGAGTATTTCCACAGGAGAAATTCCCAGGAGCAGAATCAAGGGTTGTGCAATTGATGAAAAAGCTGATCATGCTGGTGCCAGTGGCTGGAAGTGACCTCAGAGAGAACTAGTCCAACTCTTGCATTTCATTGATAAGAAAACTGAAACAAGAAAGTTAAAAACAAGGTCCCAAGTCAGTGGCAGAAGTAGGAATGGCCCCAGCTCCTCTGAAAGGCACAGGTTGTCAGCGGAGCAACAACCTGAGACAAGGCTTTAGAGTCTGAGCTAAGGGGATGGATGGATACACTCACCCTGCAGAGACACTCTCTCTCCGATATCAATATAACTTGGAACAACGAAGGGCATCTCAGGGTCACCCTGGGGCCTGATCTGCAGGAAACCCAGCTCCTGTTTTCCTGGGTGTTGGTAGGCCTCCCGGGAAGATGTGTGAAGGAGATTTTGGAGCACACTGCTTGGGCCTTATTTAAGCCATGCCAAGGAGGAAGGAAGGAAAAGGTTGCATTAGACCAGGATATCCTAAGAAGGCAGAAGATTCACCTGGAAATTAGAAGAGTTAAATGATAGTGGCCTCTGATCAGAGAAAAGGAAGGGTGAAAAGGAATTAGAGGCCAATGAGGAATTAAAAGGGCAGAGAACAGAGCTGTGTAAGACAAGGACAGAGGGAGAGTTCAGCAGAGGCTAGAGGAAGTGGTCACAGAATTAGGAGAAACAGAGCAGTGGAGTCTCGAAGCCAAGAGAACAAAGTTCCAAGAAGGAATGAGTAGACTGCAGCGTGAAATGCTGCAGAGGGCTCAAATGAGACGAGGACTTTAAAACATCCATGCACGTGGCAACACGGAAGCCACGGTGACCTCGCTCAGAGTCTCTTCAGTAAAGCAGTAACAGCAGAATCCAGATTGCAATGTGTCGAGGAGGGAATGAGAAGGAAACAGAGTCACTGAGTGTAGATGATTCTTGGAAAGGAAGAGGGAGAGAGGGGAGGTGGCAGCTGGGGGAACTTAGGAGCATGTCCTGGAAGATCTTTACTCAACTTCTGCGTGCACAGGCAGGTCACTCACTCTCAAGGCCAGAAGTAGCTGGAGAGAGAAAGGGTAAGGCCCAGCTTCCCATACCAGCCTCCACTGAATCCTGGTTCCCTGGGGGTTTGTATAAATTATCCATCGTAATAGAAGTCCATGCCCATACTGTTTGCAAAATGTATGCATGGGGCATGATAATAACAGTAGCCACCATTTACTGAGAGCTTATTTATGCAAAGCTGAGAGCTTTACATAAATTATCTCATTTAATCCTCACAACAATTCTGTGAGGTAGGCCTTATTATTTTCTGCAACTTGAAAATGATGAAACTTGAGACACAGAGAGCTTAATTAGCTGCTACAGGTCGTCCCGCCAATAAATGGCAGTATCAGGATTCAAACCCAGGTTGCTCCTGCTCCAGCACTGGTGCTCCTAACCGTGAAGCCGGGGTCCCTCAAACTGGACTCTGAATCACAGGCTTCAGGACCACCTGGGGAGCATTGGAAAAACGCAGATCCCCAGGTCCCACAAAAGAGTTCTGACTCCAAATCTATGAAACTGGAGCCCGGAATCTGTACATCCATCAAGCTCCGCAAATGATCCCTCCACTCACAGAAGTCTTCTTAAGTGAAATATTTCTCTCCTGACCGTTTGAGCTGCCTGTGGTTGGTTTTCATCCACACTGGGATTCATACTCTTCACTGAGTCTGATAAAGTAGGCTGGACTGCTTGTTTGAGAGAAAGAAGCTCCTCGGCCTTAACCCAGACCTACTGAATGAGGATTTCCAGGGGAGAGACCTGGCGATCTGTGTATTTAGCAAGTTCTCCAGGCAATCCTTATCTTCAGAGAAGATTGAGAAACACTGTTCTGTGATTCACCGCTGGAAGTATCCTTAGCACTTCCCTGGGCTCTAATTTAGTTCTAACACTTAATCATTCTAAGCTCCATTTTCCTCATCTGTAAGATGGGTATAAATATGCCTGCCTGGGAGAGCCATTGTGAAGACTGGTAGTGTACCAATTAGGATTAGATTTACCTGCTTATAATAAAGACAAAGGAACAATGGCTTAAACAAAAGGGTTTATTTTTCTCTCAGGTTAAAGTATGGAGCCAGGCAATCCAGAGCTGGTATGAGGTCTCTTATCATTAGGGACAAAGACTTTTGATATCCTTCTACCCTTTCATTATTAACATATTGCCTCTTGGCATAAAATGGCTGCTGAGGCTGCAGCCATTTTGTCTATGGTCCTGGCAGAGGAAAGGGAAGAAGGGATTCACGTCCCAGCTCAGTCAAATCCCGTTAAGGACCATTTCCGGTAGGTCCTCGTAACACTTCTGATTATATCGCATGACCAGAACTTACTCATAGAGCCACACCTAGTCGCAGGAAAGGCTGGGAACTAAAATCTTTTAATTCAGCATCAGGTCTTTGCCACCCCAAATAAATCAGGTTCTGTTATTTAAAAAGAAAGGAGAATAAATATTGATGTGGCAGCACAAAAATGTGCTTCTGCAGACTTTCTACTGCAGGGAGCTGAGGCCCCCAGCTGCCGTGCTTTGAAATCCACTGGCCAAGCCTCCCATGGGCCCACCCACCAATGACTGAGTGTGCTGGGGTACAAAGTCAGTCCTGAGAGAGAAGGGACTCCTTTGTCGGCTGACTTTGGCTCAAGGACTCCCCGACGGCTTTGCCAAACCTTTCTGTGAGACTTCGTTAGACTGAATCTTCCTGAAAATGCAGGGCCATGGGGGACCCTTGCTCCCAAGCTTGTCTTCCTCTCTCCTTCACTTGGGGTCTGATGGCCCTCCTGGCCTCCTCTAGCTCCCTCCCTTCTCTAGCTCTCTCCCTATTTCCTGTCATAGGAGCATTTCCCCTAGTAAAATGCTTGCACACATCAATCCTATCTTTTTTTTTCCTTTTTCTCCCAAAGCCCCCCAGTACATAGTTGTATATTTTAGTTGTGGGTCCTTCTAGTTGTGTCATGTGGGACGCCACCTCAGCGTGGCCTGATGAGCCGTACCATGTCCACGCCCAGGATTCAAACTGGTGAAACCCTGGGCCGCCAAAGCAGAGTGCGCGGACTTAACCACTTGGCTATGGGGCCGACCCTTTAATCCCATCTTGGTGCCTGCATCTCGAAGGGCCTGCCTAACAAAATTGGCAAGGCAATTCAGTCTCTAGCACAGATTCAATGGCAGATATAACACCTACATAACTCAGGGATGGGCATGTAGTAAGCACTCAACAAATAGTAGCGGTGTGATGATAATGGAGGTGGAGGAGGAGGTAGTCCAGAGCCAGCCATGGAGGAAGGAGTGCTTACAGATCGGGCGGTGGGGTGAACACAGGGTCTGAGGCAAATCACTCTGTTTGATTTTCCTTTACCCCCAGAATATTTCCATTACAGTAAAATCTGGTTAAAATTGGCACCAAAATCAGTATGAAAAGGAGAAAATAGACTCTAAATAGTTGTCATCGCCAGGCAATTGAACTGTTGTTACTTAGCATCAGCCATTTCAAGTCATTTTTCAACAAAAAGAAAGAAAGAAAAAAAAGAAGCAGGGCAGGCCCTGAGAAAAAATTACACAAAATAAACCCAATGTCCTGAGCACCTCTGATCTTCATATTGGAAAAATGGTGACCAGAAATTACTTGTCATGATGACCTAAGAACACTACTCCCATGAGAACAGTTTTCCCTCTCTTCCAGAGGGAGAGAAGGCACAATGGGGGCAAAAGGTAGACATAACCTGTACATGACACAAAATTTCCACGGAACTTACCCAACATTATGTACTTGCACATGGCAGGAGTTTAATGAATGATGGCCACCCAGACAATTGAATGGCTCACTCAAGGTTATAGCTCACCATTCATTCATTCATTCATTCAAGAAAGATTTGTAGAAATCCTACTATGTGCCAGGCCCTGTACTAGGCACTGAGGGTGCTACAGTGAACAAGACAGTTGAGGTCCTTGCCTTCGTCCTTCTACAGAGAAATCTCATTTGCAGACATTTTATGAGAGCCCCTCTACCTCTGTCTTTCCAGGGACACAGCCTGAATCGGCAGCCACTTAAATCATCTATCAGATTGAAAACCCATACATTGCTTCTGAAATATGTTCTTGGTCTCTGAAACCAAGTTGACTAACCCATGTAAAATTATCCCTGACGTGACCTTGGGTTTCCATTGGCCTCTGTGTTAGTTATCTATTGCTGTTGTAACAAGTTACCTCCAAAACTTACAGCTTAAAATAAATTTATTTATTATCTCACCGAGGTAAGGACTGACTTTGCTGGATGGTCTGGCCCAGGGTCTCTCATAAAGTCTCAGTCAAGGTGTCAGTTGGGGCTGCAGTCATCTGAAGGCTTGACCGGGGCTGGAGCATCTCCTTCCAAAGTGGCTCACACACATGACTAGCCAGTTGATGCTGGCTGCTGCCAAGAGGCCTCAGCTCTTTGCTTCATGAGTCTCTCCATAGGACTCCTCATGACGTGGCAGCTGGCTTCGCCCAGAGCAAATGATTTGACAGAAAGAGAGAGACAAGACAGAGACAGAGGTACCAAGCGAGAAGCTATGATGGCTTTTATAATCTAATCTCAGAACTGACATGCCACCACTTCTCCTGTACTCTGCTGGTCACACAGACCAGCCCCTGGTACAGTGTGGGAGGGGACTCTACAAAGGTATGAAAACCAGGAGGTGGGGGTCATTGGGGGCCATCTAGGGGACTGGTTACCACAGGCTCCATGGAGAGCTCCCTCTCCCCAAACTCCACCCAAACCCAGGGGAAGAAAGGGTGTGTGCAGATTTCTCTGTTTGAAAATACAAGGCACACAGCAGTGAATTTACTATGTCCTGGAAACCCAGTGTTCGAGCCCCACAGAACTGCCTTTCCTCAACTGCACTTTAGCATCATGCCATAGGCCTGCATAGAAGGATATCATAGAAACAGCTCCAATGACCTTCCTGGTGTTTGTTTCACTCTTCCGTCAATGTCCTCTCTCCAAGGACCCACAGGAAAAAATCTCTCTCTGGTCTCAGGGTCAGGAGAAGTTGTGCTTCTGAATAACTAACTACTTTGTTTTTCTCATTTAAAAAACCTGGAATTTCGTTACCACTCACATTTCCGTCTTTACTTGGGCTGTTTGGAAGCTTGAAGCCAATCGTGTGAGCCTCTGCTGGCATCCATCTCCTTGGGCTGATGGCATCCTGGAATTCTTTCTTCCATTCGTCCTCTATTTTCTCCAATTCCCTCAGCTTTTCGCTTTACCTTTTTGTATATTTTGTACTTTTATAATTCCCTTCAAAGTTTTTGTGGATTGAAGGGGAGTATAAATACTTAATAAAATTAAAGTTTTTGTCTGCACTGATGACTTACATACAGTGCCATCTAGTGGTGAGAGTGATAATCTCCAGAAGAGAAACCTGCCTGATTTTTCAGACTTGTTTTCGCAGGGAAGTGAGGATTGTGGGGTTGGAAGAGACGGGAGACCAGGACCTCTCTCTATGCTTTGCCAGGGCATTGAGACTGCTGGGGAGTAAAGAGACTCCGGGCAGAGCAAAGGGGCAGGTGATTCAATGACTGGAATCCAACATAAATTACTGGAACCCGAAGAAGCAGTCAAAAAGAAGGGTGAAGACCTTGCAAATGTGGAAGGCACCGGCAGTGGAAGGGTTAAGTGAAAGGTGTTAGAAAAGCTAAACAATGAAAACAGACCATATTCAAGCAAATCATCACTTGAAAGGCACTTAAGGTGGGTTGACTTCAGATGCAACCAGCCATTTTTTAAGTATTTACATTAAGCATAGGAAGAAGCTTAGAGTCTAATGCTCTCATTTTACTCAAGAGAAAACTGGAGCCCAGAGGCACTGAGCACCTCGTCCAAGGTCACGGGTCCAGGGGGACTCCAAGACCAGCCCTCTTTCCCCAGAACTGCACTGCCTCTAATCACATGCAGCAGATGCTCATCTGGGCTTTCACTTTACACACTGGGTTGCAAAATAAAAATCAGATCGTCACATAAAATGCTGAATTCAGCATGTTTCCAAGTAATTATTACTCACTGGTTTGTAGCTGCCCCTTGGCACACCCCTCAAAATCAGGATGGAGGAATTGATTATGAAGCACTGGTTTCATTAACCTTCACTGGACTGCAAAAGCCATTAATCCACAATGATCGGGATGGATTCTGGAAGCCAACTGCAATAGCCAAAGGAGCCCAGCCTGGGGAAGAGAAGGTAGGTTCATTCAGCCACTGTGTTAACCTAGCACCTGCTCTGGGCCAGGCTCAGGGCACGACACTGGGGTGGCAAGATCAGCAATGTACTGGCCATACTCAAGAGCCATATACATTCTTTCTGTCTATACCCTGATGTGTGTTCTCGCACACAGCTCAAACTCTAGTAAGGAGGGCCTTTGAAGACCTGGCCCAGGGGTCTATAGTCTCAGGCTGAGCTGTCTTAGAAACAGCCTGGTGGAGCCAGCCTGGTGGCGCAGCGGTTAAGTTCAAACGTTCTGCTTCAGCAGCCCAGGGTTCACCGGTTCGGATCCCAGGTGCGGACATGGCACAGCTTGGCAAGCCATTCTGTGCTAGGCGTCCCACATATAAAAGTAGAGGAAGATGGGCACGAATGTTAGCTCAGGGCCAGTCTTCCTCAGCAAAAAGAGGGGGATCGGCAGCAGATGTTAGCTCAGGGCTAATCTTCCTCAAAAAAAAAAAAAAGAAAGAATCAGAAACAGCTTGGAGTCAGGGACCACTCCAGGGGCTGGAGCTACTGTCTAAGCAAGAATTCAAGACATTAGCACATTGGACGGTGCAGATATAGGACATTTTCATCATCGCAGAGAGTTCTATCAGACAGCACTGGCCAAGAGTGCCCTTTCCTGGATGTTCTGCTTCCTGAGTCTTACCAGTTCTTCCAGGCCCTTCAAAGACTGATATAAGCAGAGACTGATAGAAGTCACTGGTTTCTGGAAGGGGCAGAGCCCCAGTCCAATGGCTCTTCCAGATCTGAGATCCTCAGAAGTAAAGATGACCCACTTGAGAGAGAGAGGGCACTTGGGGATCAGTTCCTTAGACTTTTCAGGCCTCTGTGCTGGTAAAAGCTTCCAGAACAGGGGCCAGGAGAGCAGAGAGTATTAGGTGTCTCAACTTTTGAGGTCAGAAAGACCTAGGTTCCTATCCCAGGTTCCCCATTACTAGTTGGGTGATCTTCAGGCAAGCCTTTGGGCACCGACTTTCTTGCCAGCAAAAACAACTAAGACCTATGATTGTCAGAAGATTAAATGAGACAGTGCCTGGCTCATAGTAAGTGCAGATTTCTTACTCAGCTCTTCTTGCCATTTTGGATGCCAATCTCCACTCTGCCACGGATAGGAGCCAGGGGTCATCCTCTCATCAGGTACCAGACGGAGGCTAGTGATGGCGAGCTGTTCCACTCATTCTTCCAATGGATATTTAATGAGAAAACACCAACTGCCTGGCCTCATGTTCTGCATCATGCAGAGATAGAAAACAAGTGAGTGAGAGGAGGAGCTCACTGTCTTGTGGGAGAGATCAGCAGGCAAACTGAAAATTATATAGCCAGGGGACCAGACGTTAATTGAGAGTGCACAGAGGAAAGTGCACAGAGGAGGTGACATCGCGGCCAAGACAGGAAGGGTGAATAGAAGTTTGCCGGGCCGGCACGTGGCACAGCAGCTAAGTTCACACGTTTTGCTTCAGCAGCCCAGGGTTCACCAGCCTGGATCCTGAATGCAGACCTATGCACCGCTTGGCAAGCCATGCTGTGGCAGGCGTCCCACATATAAAGTAGCAGAAGATGGGCACAGATGTTAGCTCAGGGCCAGTCTTCCTCGGCAAAAAAAGGAGGAGGACTGGCAGCAGATGTTAGCTCAGGGTCAATCTTAAAAAAAAAAAAGCAAGCCCCTTCCTTGTCTTTTTGGATTTGCCTATGGTTCCACTATTGCATGCACATCCCCAAATTATAATTCTTTGCTCTTTCTGAATAAACCCATTTTTGCTACAGAAATAACCGGCTGTCTGTAAGTTTAAGGTCAATACCAGTGTGGGATGGCTTAGAAGAGACAAGACTGGAGAAAAGAGGGCCAGCTTCAATTTGCTCTGCTCTCTCCCTATCTCACTAGGCTCTGGTTACAAAGGACTTCTCAGTTCCTTGAATAACAAAATACTAAGTTCTTTTCCACCTGAGTGCCTTTGCACTTTCTGTTTTCTCTGTCTGGATCACTCTTTCTTGGCTGTTCCAGAGCTTCCTTTCTCTCAGCTTTCCCGTCTCAGATCAAGCATTTCTTCCTTTCGCTAATCTCCCCATCTAATGTATGGCTCCCTCCATTATTCTCTCTTGTAGCATCCTGTTTCTTTTTTCTATTTACCACAATTTGAAATTTTATTCTTATTTGTTTTATGCAGTCAATGTCTATCTTCCCCATTAGATTGTAAACTCCGTGAGGGTGGGTCACGTCTGCCCCATTCAACACAGTGTCCCCAGCACCCGGCACAATGCTGGGTACTTAGCACACTCTCAATAAATACTGGATGGATGGAACTGTTAGAATAACTGGGATGACCACAGCTTAGGTTAAGTAACACTAGCAGCAAAACTGAGATAAGGAGCCTACCGCCACACGAAGTGGACGGGCAGGTTTGAGACAAGAATCGGAGTCAGTTCTGATTGCACTGAGTTCTGACTACACTACTAGCTATACAGCCCGGGCAGGTCAACAACTCTTTATCCACCACCATCCAGGTAAAATGAGGACAACACCCCTGCAGCTGGGCAGGACGAATGCCCTCCAAAGCAGAAACGACAAGGCTAGGGCTGGGGCCGAGGGTCGTGGTGGCTCATCCCTTGAGAACACCGGCAAGAACAGCTGTCGCTCCCTGAGGGCGAAAGTTAGGGCCCCATGGCAGTCCTGACATAAAATGGATCCCCCATGTGGGCAGCGCCATGGTTCTTTGTACCCTCTTAAAATGTCCGATGAGCATGAGGACTGGAGAGATTATTTAGGGCCGTTGTCATTTGTTTCTTTTAAAATAGTTTCCCCATCAATCAGCAGCTCTCTCCAAAAATCAACTAATAGAAATCTAAACGGCGAATTCTCAGGACTACAGGGAAGAAGGCAAATTCCAGCATGGGATAACCGAAAGGTAGGTGAGTAGATCCCCCCAGAGTGCCACTCGGTGAGGGAGACGAGCCAGTGTGCAAGGCCCGCCCAGCCTCTCCTCTTCCCCACTGGGTCTCGCCTCACCCCCAGGGCCCCGGGGAGACGCGAGCGCCGGCAGGGCCAAGAGACCTCCATGTTACTACAGTTCCCAGAGGGCTCTGCGCGGGGGGGGGGGGGGGGGGGGGGGGCCAAGCCGCGGTTCGCTTCCCCCGCCTCCAGAGTGCGAGATGTTTTGATCCAGAAGGTTTCTCACTCCGAACGCCTTCTTCATCAGCCTTTCAAAGTCCCTACGGATGTTGAGCAAGTCTGGCACCGCCCCCATTCTAATCAGCCAGGGGGAACTGGGAGCCGCAAGGCAATCTGGGAAATGTAGTTTCCAGGAAGACTTCTGGGAAACAGAGTCTGGGGAGGCAGCGAGCTTTTGCAGCCAGTTAGAGCTGGGCTCGGGGCTTGCCACGTGACCTGCGCAGTCAGCTGTTCTGCTGCTTTTCCTTTGCCGGAGCTGCGGCGAGGAGGGGTTCTGAGGAGGGATGTTTAGTAACTCTTCCCTGTCCCTGCATGCTGCTTGTGCACTGGCCTCCTCAGTTCCTGAGTCGTCTCTGTTGCCCAAACAGTGCTGACTGCATATTTGCATATGTTTAAATTTGTTATGGCTCTCCATGACTTCGAGTTAACTTGCAAGCTATATAGGACGTCTTATACCTTGCTTTCTACAGCAGCCAAACTGAACCCGTCGAGTTGCTTTAAAGCTTTGCTGAATAAGCCATTAATCAATTACTGGGTCGCCTCATGTTTGGGACCTTTTCCACTACTTGTTCTCACTCCGCCGCCTCGTCTTCACCGATGACTGCATCGCCTCGGAAACTGAAATCCTCTCCTTTCTTGCTATCAACCCCCTCCTAGTTTCATTTCTTCCCCCACGCAGCCGAAATCCTAAGAATCCTGTCCTGCCTCATGTCCTGTGTAACAACCCCAAGCCATCGATTAATACAGTTGTCTGCTTTGGGTTTGCCAGGTGCTCCTGGAAGGGGAAAAATACATCACCCACCTTCACAGTTTGGAGCCTCTAGAATCAAAGTCTCAGACTTCCGGTAAGCCCTAAGCTCAGTGGATTGGGACAGCACTCAGGAGAAGGAGGCTGGGAAAAAAAAATAGAAGAACAAGACTGCAGAACACACTTCTAGAGGGCGTACAGGCTTTGAAAGGGCTTTGTTGCATTTCACCTCACCCTGCTATCTCAGGTTTGTCCTGTTAGAGCCTGAGAATGAAATGTAGAACAAAGCAAAATGTTAGGAGAATATTCTAGAATGGTACATTGGTAAGGTAGAAGGTACTGTAAAGACTCAAACAGAAATGTTAAGCAACATATAAAGAATGAAATGAAAATAGCAAGAAAACACAGCAAAGATGCTAAGTTGGTATAAGTTAAAAGTGTTAAATGAACCCAGAGAGTAAATGATAAAGTCCTTTAAAAAGCATTATAGTGGAAAGATTGGGTGTTTCTGATGGAAAGCCAGGCAGAGGCAATGTTTTGTTAGGCTTCCACAAAGATTAAAAGATTATACCCAAAAAATTCCCTTGAGAAGTGGCAGGTGTTAAGAGGACCCTGGAAATCAGTAACTAATCTGCCTTCAAAACAATAATTTTTAAAAAGTCTTTTCTTGCGGGAAAAAGGAGATCCAAAACAGGTATGTTTGGACATATCAGAGGCCCCTCCTGTGCCGCATCTTAGAGGCAGAATCCCAGGAACTGCGCTGCCAAGTACCGGAGGGGAGATTTGCTTTGGTTTTATTCTTTCAATGATAATGTTTTATTAATTTGTATCTTTCATTCCTCTATAGCATTAGGACCATTTGTCATGGAAAAAGGCTGTGAAATACCTTAAACCATATCTATAGTGTTTTCACATACCACGTGATATTTAATATAATTAAGGAAAGCAGCGAACTGGTGAGTTAATAGTTAACTGGGAACCGTATTGCTTTGAAAGCAATCTAATTTCTCACCCTTCTATGTATCAACCTGGCCACCTGATTCTAAATTTAAAGACTTGCTGTTTACCAACGGGAAGCTACAGCTACATTTACATGTGTCTCTGGGGAAAACGCGTGCAGAGAATAGCCACATCTTTATATGCAAGGCAAATACCTGGAACCAAACAAAACAATTCTGGAATCCCACCCTGGACATTAGTATTTTAGGAGTAGAGCACAAGATTTCCAATGATCAAGAAAACCTACGCATTATAGAAAAGAAAGGACCAATTTGTTTGTTTGTTTTCAATTCATTACCCACCAGTACTTTTGTAAAATAATGCATTTCCAGAAAAAATGAAATTATAATGAATTATAAAATATAAGCCCTATTTTGT